TCCTTCTTTCTGTCCCTTTTGAAACAAGTTCTTTCACCATGGAGATCTTCCTGCCTCTGCAATCATCTTGTATCCCTGTCAGGACTGACTAGGGGCTCATCTTTGTCATGGGACAATTTAGGAAGCCGGCTTCTCAGGTGCTTCCAGGTGAAGCGGACATTAGTCATCCTGGGGCTCAAGAGAACCTTGGGATTCCTAGTTTTGGAATCCCAAGGACACCAGCCCAAGGGAAAACTCTTTCAGGGTGTCTGGAATTAGAGACCATCATGAAAAGCTCAGGACTTGAAAATCTGTGGGACCTTTTAATATGAAGACCCCAAACTGCCTGTTACAGCTTATATCTCTCGATGTTCCCCTAAAGCCTCATGCACTCACAGGTAGAGAGGATTATGGTGTGTGAATATGGATTAAGGATGTGATGCTGGGATTAAGGGTGTGGATAATGAAAGTCCCACCCTGGGCGTGGGTGGCACCAATCAATAGGCTTATAGCCTGGATGGAATGTAAAGGGACAGAAAGAAGGCAGGCTTACTGCTTCTGCTGCTGCTGCTTCTGCTGCTTGCTGCTTGCTGCCTTCTGCCTGCCTTGCCTGGACTGTTTCTCCTCTGGAATGCTGCCCTGCCTTGGAGCCAGCTGACTATGGGCTGAACCCTCTACAGACTGTGAGCTGAAATAAACCATTCCTCCTTTAACTCTGGGTGCTGGGTATTTTGTCTCAGCAATGAGAAAAGTAACTAAGACTCTGCCCCTGTCCACATGGGAGCCCACAACAGGCACTGGAACTATTTCCATAGCAGAGTGGGGTTTGCAGGGTGCGGGTCTCACAGATGCCCTGCCCCGGCATCCTCCTGACCAGGGTTTGGGCATCCGTAGGGCAGTGAGGCAACAGTACCAGGGACCTGGGAACCATGGTCTACAGCAGGACTGGTTCATGCCAAGCAAGAGAACTGGCTGTTTTGGGGTGCCAAGCCCGAGGATCAGAAGTGTCTTTTTGAGCTGAGTCTCATGCCATGGCTTGGATGCAAGACGGAAGGTCCTCTCCTGAGAGTCACCCAACAGGTGCAGGTCGAGTACCTGCTATGTGCAGACCAGCTGCTCAGCACTGGAGACAGAGCACCTCACGCAGTCACACCCATCAAGGGGAAGGTGATCTCTTTAGCTTTTAGCAAGAGTGAGATCAACTTTGAGTAAGAAGACTCCATGGGGAAAATGTGGCCAGCAAGAATCCCTTTCCTGAGGATCAGGAGTGGTCAGAGGGAGCTAACCATCTGCACCTGCATTTAGTGGCCAATCCTTCGGAGAGGCCAAGGACAATTACATATGTACATTTTTCTGTTATTTAAACTGAAACTACTGATTGAATCCTTAATTACTGGCTTTAAACTACCTTGGGATTACAACATGGCAGAGTTATTCCAAGTGCTAAATAGGACAGTGAAGTCCCAGAGAGCAGGCTGCTCCGGTATGGTTGACTCAGGAACAAGCCCCGATGCTTATGTTGTGAGTTAAATTTGTTTCAGAAGCAGCTGGCCAGATGCTTAGCACGGCTTCCTCTCCTTGCTTCTCCCAGGCTTTTCCCCTTGGCCTCAGCTAAAACATTCCCCCTTGGTTTACTGTGTCACCCCAGCCAGGCCCTCAGATGTTTGAGTTTTTTGGTGGAAAAAGCTCACTGGAAGAGAAGTTGCTCAGTTGTAGGCCCATCTGTGAAACATCTAGCTGATCAAGTGCAGTCTTGGAGCAATAATGAAACTTCCCTTCCTCTTCAAAGCCTTTGAAGTTCTAAAGCAACAGATAAAATGATATTGGGAGGCAGCCAGGCTGAGAGTATGCTGTGGAAAATATCCACTTAGTGACCATGGTCTGTATCTCCGAGCCCCTCGAGAAGGAACAAGAGGGAGGGAGCCTTGTGCAGGTGTTCCCACTTCACCATCTTTTTCCTGCTCTACAAATCAGGAGGAAGCCCCGTAGGGACAGAATACCTGAAAGTGGTGGCCAGAGAATTGCTCCAGCAGGGTGCAGAGACAGTTTAAGGCTTTCTCTTAAAGTCCTGCAAAGTCTTCAGAAGTTTACTTGGAAGATCTTGGTATTCCAGAATTGTCGGGAGACTTTTATTAGATCATTATCTGGCTTGGTAGTGTCTCTTAGATTTAAGCAGACAGCATTCACATCTGATAAATTTTTAAATGGCTTTTTTTATGACACAGATGTTCACATCTGCAGACCTTTCCCTTATGTGGAATTGTTTTCCTTCCCCTTGATAAATGTCTTAGCTCACCCTACAAATTAATCCACAACAGTCTAAGCCTACTTATGACAGATGTAAACTATCTAGAGACTACTATTTTTTTTAACCACTTTATGTTCATGTGTGGGAACATTTATTCGTATTGTGTGGTCTGATAACCACAACAGGGGGAAGACCACATTCTGAAATCCTATTGGGACCTATATATAAAACAAAAAAGATCAGAAAGCAAATATACACAGACACTCTTGCAGATTTAATTTTATAATGCATTTAGTTTTCTGATGCTCCAGATTGGAAAACATAATTGCATTTAAGTCTGCAAGCTGAGAGTACCCAGGTTACACAATCCAGGGAGGAACGTGTCCCAAAGCCCCTGGAGATACCTGAGTACCAGTTGATCAGGTCCCTTCCATAAATGACATAATACTTTCACAGAACCTCCCATCTACCTTAAATCGCCTCTAGATTACTTGTAACAGTGCAAGTGCTATGTAAATAGTTGTTATACTGTGTTGTTTAGGGAATAATGAGAAAAAAAAATGTCAGATTCAGTAGGTTCTTTTTTTCAGATATTTCCACCTGCAGACTCAGAACCCTTGGAAATGAAGGGCCAAGTGTAATCAGCCACATTTTAGAAAGAGGCGGTGCAGACTCCACTCTGGAGGTCCCAACCCTGTCCACAGGTTGGCAGCCTGCAGAGGGTGGGAAAATGCTATTCCTAGGCCTTGGCTCTGGGTTTCTTCGCAGTCTGGCTGGGTGGACACAGGCAGCCAGGGCAGAGGTCCCGGGGGCACGGGTAGAGTCAGGTTGGAGAATTCCTTGCCGGTGCAAAGGCGGCTTTTCTCATATTTGCCACAGTTCTTTTTCTCACCTACTAAGCTCCACCTAAATATAACAAGGGTTTTCTGACCCCACAGAAAATCAGTTCTCCAAAGTCACTGTATCCCTGCTCCATTATTTCCACTCTGAGTGACCCTAGTTAGTTGCCAGACCTTCTCTGGGCCTCAGTTTCTTCATATCTCACATGAGGACCATCAAGCCTTCCCAGACTTGTGAAGAAAAATAGGAAGTTGTGGGCACAGATCTGGTCTCCTATGTGATGTGTGGACACCAGGTACCCTTAGGTGTTAGCCAGGTTCCCATCACTGTAACAAAATACCTGTGACAACCAACTTAAAAAGGTAAAAGTTTATTTTGGCTCACAGTGGCTTCCATCCATGGTCCATGGCCCTGGGTGCTTTAAGGCCACGCCCTGTGGCAGAGAGTGCATGGGAGAGCACAGTTGTTCCCCTCATGGCTGGAGGTAGAAGAGAGAGCAGGAGAGACCAAGAGTGCAGCAAGGCATGGCCCCAGTGATTTTAAACCTCCTTCCTAATCCAGTACTTGAAGTTTCCAACACCTCCCTATAATGCCAAGCCAGAAACTAAGCCTTCAGCATACAGGCCTTGGGGACGTTATTTTTGTTGTTGTTTGTTTGTTTTGTTTTGTTTGCTTTTGAGACAGGGTCTTGCTAGCCCAGGCTGGCCTCCAACTCACAGCGATCCTCCTGCCTCAGCCTCCCAAGTACTGGGATTACAGGTGTGCACCACCACACCCAGCAAGGATGGTTTATATCCAAGCTGCAGCACCCTGAATCCTGAGGCCACCTTCTCTTTGGCCCAGCCCCTGGTCAACCTAGTCTCTAGAGACCAAGTTTCAGGGCAGAAGCCTCAGATCCCCGGGTGTGCCAAGCCAGAACCAGGGGGTCGGGGGGTTGGTGCCAAGACTTCATTCCCAGGACGCTTTGCATCCCAAACACCATCTGACTGTAGGGATCAGCCTTAGAGCAGCAGCCCAGGTGAGTGTTCAGGTCCTTCCTGCAAAATGGGGCTGCTCACTCATCCTGCAGAATACTCCTCCCTACTCAGGAAGTGAGGGCTGCTAGAGGGAGAGGCAGTGCGGTGCAGTGATTACCAGCATGAACTTGACTCCCTGCTCTGCCTCTTGCAAGCTACTGGGCCTTGTGCAAGTGATTTCACCACTTTGTGTCTCTGTTTCTCCATCTGTGCAATGGGGATAATAGGAGTACCTACCTTGTCTGGTTGTTGTAAGAATGAAATGAGTCAATATACAAAACGGGATTAAAAATGCAATAAATGTTGCATTCTTAAAAAATGTTTACATTACCATTAATCCTCTTCAGAATATTCCCCCTCAATTCACACATGCTGATTTCATTGTTCTTGCTGCTTTCTGAAGCAGTTCTGGAAGTCCTCTTTCATGAGTATCTTTAACTGTGCTCTCATGGCTGCCTTGATATCCTAAATGGATTCAAAACATTGACCTTTCATGGTCATTTGTCTTTGGGGAAGAGCCTGAAGTCACCTGGTGCCAGATCCAGTGAATAATGTAGGTGAGGACACAGCATCATGTTTTTACAAGCTGCCTTTCTGGATGGCACTCAGCAGGGTTCCCTGCATTTTTCATCACACCTTGTAAAGACACACAGGAAAGAGGACTTCCAGAACTGCCTCAGAAAGTGGCAAGAACAATGAGATAAGTGTTTTAAAGCAAGGGAGAGTATTATGAGGGGGATGCATAGCCATGTGCCTTTTACTATAATAAATATTTTAAAAAATCTAAACATGTGCCACATATTTTGAGCACACAGTGTACATGAGGCCTGGATGCAGTGCCTGGTTTATCACTGTAAGGGGAGGGGCTGGCCACTGCTGTCACCAGCCCGGTCTAACCTGTGTGTCCTCCACCCCAGTGCCTAGCCCCTCCTGTAACAGCTTTAACAACGCCCTTTCAAGACCTTGCCGGGTGCCACTAGGAGAGGAGGTCTGCTTCATCGCCACTGTCCGGCTGGCGACACCACAGTTCTTAAAGGTGCGTCCCCTGCAGAGGAGTGGTTGCCTGGAGTCACATTTGGTTCTGTTTCATTCATGGGAGAATGGGAGAAAATTAAATTATGGCAATGTTGCCTATAAAATCTAAAATATCGGTTTCTGCACTGGCCACACCTGCCCTGTCCCGTACCTGGGTTTCCTGTAAGTTATTTTGTTTGAAGGCAGAAATCCCGGTGGACTGTACATCTCCCCACCTCTTACACCGGCCCTGACACTGCTCAGCCAGTGTGGGTGAGCACTGAATGCCAAAGAACAGTATTTTGCAGCTTCCCTCATCTCCGATTGCTGTCATCTCTGGCATGAATGTGGATAGAGTTAAATGAGTGATCACATTGAGATGAAAAGCTGTTTCCTCTGTGTGCCACACTTCCAGAAAATGGGAAGGGAGGGGTGTGACATTCTGGCTCCTAGGTATCTTCCCCCAACTTGGGAAATAAATTTAGTATCAGCTAATACCGAAATTAGCCACAGATGATGAGTTTCAGTCCCACATGACTGGGAGACTGGCTGGAACGATTCTAGCTTCTGTTCCCTATCAAGCATTCCCTTCCTTTTGTACTAACCTGGGGTGAGCATCTGGCATCCCAAGCGACATTATATTTTTCCCCTTCCAATATAGGAAATGTGCATCGTTGACGAACCTTTAGAGGAATTCACTTCAAGGCATAGCTTGGAATGGAAATTTTTATTTCTGGATCACAGGTTTGTGAAAAGAAAAACATTTAGGTTGGGTCCTTTTCAAATGCTGTTTATGTGAGCCAGGCTGTCCCTGGGAGGAGAGTCCAGCCTGGCCCTGGGACAAAGAAGGATGCCCTGGCCATAGGAGCCGTTGTCCCCAGCCAAGGGAGATGGTTTCCCTTCTGTGCATCTGCCTTATTCTGCACAGGTTCTGTGCTCAGGTCAGGACCATAGCCTGAGGCATCTTTAGGGTGATCCTCCCTTGGGCTCCCTCGAATCCCCAGAAAGCCAAAAGGAGACAGGAAGAGAAATCTCTCCTCTGATTTCTTCCAGCCCCCTTTGATCCTCTAGCCTCATCTTTTTCTTCCCTTTATAACGTTATTCACAGATTAAGAGCTGCAGATCTCCCCTCCTGACTCTTTAACTGTTCATTGCACTTGCCCAGGGGCTGGCCCAGTGGATAGCTGTTCTTAATTATTCGACAGAAATAAGTTTGCTTATTACTCGGGCCAAGCGAATGGAGTGTCTAAATGCCACACTAAGTGGAGCCCTTTGGAAAATATGGTCTCTTGGAGGCTGATCATTGAGACATGTTTTCTTCCCCTGGTTCTTCAGAGATGAGGCCCCATGTGTGTCACACACCGTGCAGCCATCCCCTGTACACGAACATCTGGGCCAGTGTGGTGAGCCCTGCCAGGACTCCTCGGATAACCGACCCCTCTGTCCTCCTGCAGAGCCCCTCCGATCATAGGATATCTGCCCTTCGAAGTGCTGGGCACCTCGGGCTACGACTACTACCACATCGATGACCTGGAGCTCCTGGCCAGGTGCCACCAGCACCGTGAGTACCGCTCCCTCAGCACAGGCACCAGGGCTGCCTAGGGATCCCCAGGGACTAGGCAGCAAGGCTCAGTGCCAGTAGAAGTCTGCTCCTTACCTGGCTTCCTCTTGGGCTGGGGCACTTAGCTTTCTCTGCAGGACAGTGCCCTGGGCACATGGCAGAGGTTGCACCTGCATTAATGTCCTGTCTTAACTTAGAATTGACTTTGCCCAGTCCCCAGCCCCTTCTTAGTGTCATCCACGTAGCCATTCCTTAATCTTATTGAGAAACTATGGTGATGCCAGGAATAATTTTTAAAGCCATATGAGACATTTTAAATGACAAAATGCTGAATTTGCATGCCCTCTCTTTAGCTAGTAGATGGGTAGAGGTCCCCAAGCACAGTCCAGATGCTGGGCTTCTTTGTCTTTGGATACCACACTCCTCACTCGAGTGGCTTCAGTAGCCTGAGTTGCCCAGCTAAGGGTTCTCCTTTGCATTAGGCCCTGCAGATAAAGCTGCAGCAACCTCTGCTGGGAAATCCAGAAACAGGTGGCTTTGTAGGTGTGCAGGATGGGGGCTCAGGAGAATGGCTGGTGGAAAGCCTCTGTCACAGAAAGCAGGACACACTGGCAGACACGTGGGCTTAGGGCTCAGGATGTGGGGGAGCAAGAATGACACATTTCTCCAGCTCTTACTCGAAAGGGGAGTCAAGAATTAACCACTCAAGGCTGGGCGTGGTTGTGCATGCCTGTAATCTCAGCACTCAGGGAGCTGAGGCAGGAGGATCATCTAGAGTTCAAGGACAGCCTGAACTACATAGCCAGACCTTGTGTTAAAAAAAAATAATTAACCAAAAAGCTGTATTTTCAGCGCCAGCTCTTAGCTCTGAGCTCTGAGCAGGAACATGTATGGTAGCATTGGCCTCTGGGTCCCAGCCCATGAATGAACCTCAAACCCTGGATCCTGGTAGATGCCTTGTTCTCAAGGCCCATTAGGACTTTCCAGTCTGCTGGTCTGCAGATGGAAGTACAGGCTAGAGATCCAGTTGGCTCAGCTGTCAAAATTTAAGGCTCACTGGTGGCATACACCTGTAATCCCAGCACTCATGCTGAGGCAGGAGGATCACCACGAGTTCATTATGTAGCCTGGGCTACGTAATGAATTCAAGACCAGCCAGGACTACATAGTGAGACCATGTCTCAAAAAAAAAAAAAAAAAAAAAATTAAGGCTTATCTTTGAAACCTTAAGCTTTTTCTCTTCCAAAGTGTGGTGTGGGGACCAGCTGCATGGACATCAGGGGCTCTGCTAGACTTGTAGGTCAGGGTCCTTCTACCAGGCCTAGAGTCAGAATATCCACTTGCACAAGATACCTGAGTGATTTGTGCACATTCATATTTGAAAAGCATAACTGCTTTAAACCTGTCACGGCATCTGACTCCTTTAACAGAACAAAGCCACTCAGACCAAAGGATTGCACTCAGAGTGTAAAAATCAGAGAAGCCACCTGAACATACAACCCTGGGGCCTGCAGGCAGTTGGTCAGCCTCAGGAGAGACCAGGGGGTGGAAGCTTCTGAACCAGACCCTCTTTATTCTGCATCTGTGTAGACTGAGTCAGACTGCTGACTGGCAGCCAGATCTGTCCAGCTCTTGGGTCTCTTTCGGGTCCACTTCTCCTGGTGTCTGGATTCTCCCACCTCTCTGAACTCCTGCAGCTCCAAGGACACCTCCACCCACCTGCAGCAGGAGAAGGAACCCTAAGAAAACCAGGGCCTCTGTAATTGAACTTCCAGCTTGAACATCTGCCCACATCTGCCCTTGTTTGAAGATCTCTTTGAGCTTCTGAGCATTTGAAAAATTATATGGATTATTCTTTTGTCTTTTAATTCATTAGTTTGGCTGGAGGTATGGCTTAGGGGAGTGTGCTTACCTGGCACATGCAAGGTTCTGAGTTTAATCCCCAGTGCCACAAGAAAAGAAGCATTAGTGTTCACCATTACCCTGCTAGTCACTTAACACAGCATGCAACCAGGGAGATAGCAATGCTGGGTATTGTCTCTTCCAACATGGATTTCAGCCATAACTGCTGAGGGAAAGATCGGTTTTACATGAACATGCATCACATGCAGAATCTATGTCCCTGCCCACAGTGATGCAGTTTGGCAAAGGGAAGTCATGTTGCTACCGGTTTCTAACCAAAGGGCAGCAGTGGATCTGGCTGCAGACTCACTACTACATCACCTACCACCAGTGGAACTCCAAGCCCGAATTCATCGTGTGCACCCACTCGGTCGTCAGGTACTGCTCGGGATGGGTCCTGAGAAGGCTTCGGAGGTCCCCATGGTGGGGTCATCAACCACTTCAGGAGGCCCTGTGTCTGAGACCAAGCCCCAGCCAAGCCCCAGAGCCCGGCTCCCACCCAGCTACACTCGAAGCCCTGTTCAACCAGAGCAAAGGTTTCTTTTGAGTTTTCAATCAGGCCCCTTTGAAGGCCTCATGAACTCTTTTAAGCTGCCAGGATATTACTTAGTAAGTTCCTGCTTCCCTGACCTACTTACATATTTTTCCCTTGTCTCCCTCCCCCAGCCTTCCCTGTCACTGTTTTGAGAAGAAAATTAAAACACTGCCTCTAAATAACTCAAACACACACTCCCTTTATTTCTCATGCTTTAAAACCTCTGCTGGCCACTGAGGAGGCAGTGTTGAGAGGACAGCCAGGCTGCCTGTGGGACAGGGTCCCTGTGGTCCCTAGTGGCCGAGCAGGGCTGGGAAGAGAGGCCACACACCTAGCACATCCTCATCCCATCCTGTGTGGGGCCCAAGTCCCAGAGGTGAAGGAGGAAAGTCGTTCTCCCCTCCAACCCATGACAGAGATGTTATGATCATAAAGTAGCTTGAAGCTGGTTTCAAAAAGAGCCTTTGAGGGCTGGGGATTTAGTTCAGTGGCACCTCACCTGCCTCTCAAGCTCGAGGTCCTGAGTTCGATCCCCGGTACAAAAAAAAACAAAACGAGCCTTTGAGGAAAACAAAGAAAGAAAGGCTAGAAGGACGTAGGTCATAGGCAGCCAGCCCTCTGTGTTTTCGCATCCATGGATTCAACCAGCCATGGATTGGAAATATTTTTAAAAGTTGCATTTGTGCATTGAACACGTAGGATTTTTTTTTTAATTGCTGTTCCCTGAACAATACAGAATACCAGCTGTGTATGTAGCATCTACATTCTATTTGGGATTGCAAATCACCCGGAAATGATTTCCAGTATCCAGGAGGAAATGCATGGATTACAGGCAGACACTATGCCGTTCTAAGAAGGGACTTGAACACCTGTGCCTCTCAGTACCCACGTTTTGTGCTCAGGCCCAGAGAGCACTCTTTAGTTCCCAGTGGGCGCTGGGGACCTCAATGCCCAGTGGCTTATGACTCATGCTGCCCACAGCACTTGGCCTGGGTATTTGCCAGAGGCCCCAGGAAAGGCTGGCCTCCTCAGGACTCTCTCCCCTCTGGCCTTCAGTGCAACTCTAGAGATGTGGGGAGGGAGCCGAGCAAGTAGATGAGGTGACAGCGTCCTTGTGGCCCTGAGCCTTTGTCACTCTCTGGCCCTACCTCACCCCTCGGCTTGGTGGTGAAGGCCATGCATCACAGTGCCTCATCAGATCCCTCAGGGTATCATGGAGTAGTTCCCCGGGTCTGGTGAGTTCTAGGTTTGTTTGAGAGAAACTTTTGGAGAAATGTGACGTGTAATCACTTGAGGAGTTTTGTGTCCAGAATGAACAGGTGTCAGGAACGGCTTCTACTTATGTAAATGCCGAAGCCTGTGCCTTGGAGGAAAATGCATTTCTTCTATTTATTTATATTTTTAGTAGAGGGGATCCAACTCAGGACCTTGCACTTGCCAGGCAGGCGAGGCACCACCTGAGCTAAATCCCCAACCCAGAAAATGTGTTTCTAAAGACAATTATGCTGGAAGATTTCGGGTGGAGCAGGGCTAAAACAGTAAAGGAGAGAGAATGAAAACATCCTGGAAATGGGGCTATTCGGAGTGTCATGTGAGAATCCGAGGTGGAAATCAGGCCAGAAGGAAAGGCCCCCTTTGGACAGGGCTGCAGCTGGGCTCCTCAGTCCTGGGAGAGGGTGGCGCAGGGAGGGCCCCGCTGTGTCACCCTGCAGTGTGCTCTCTGGTGTCCTGAGCAGTTATGCCGATGTCCGTGTGGAAAGGAGACAGGAGCTGGCTTTGGAAGACCCGCCCCCTGAGGTTTTGCACCCCTCAGTGCTGAAGGTAAGCACATCCCTGTTCAGTGGGGACAGCGAAGATCAGCTAGGCAGACTGGCATGAGTTGTTCTCATAAAAAGCACACGCCTGTAATCCCAGCACTCTGGGAGGCTGAGGCAGGAGGATCGGGAGTTGGAGCCCAGCCTAGGGAGACTTAGCAAGACCTTGTCTCAAACTAAAAACAAAATTAAAAAGGACTGAGGATGGGGCTGGAGATGGGGTTGGAGGTGTAGCACAGTGGTAGAATGCTTCCTTAATATGAGGGAGGCCCTGGGTTCAATCCCCAGTACCACCAAAAGGAAAAAAAAAAGGACTAGGGATATAGATCAGGGTTAAGGCTCTGAGACCACTTCAAATTCTGTACTCTACCTAAATAGAAAAAAATCTCTGTAAATCAGGCATGGTGGTGCAGACCCATTATTCAGCACTCTAGGAAGCTGAGGCAGGAAGATCACAAGTTCCAACCCAGCCTGAGCAACTTAGTGACTTTGCAAGATCTCATCTTAAAAAAAAAAATCTAAAAGAACTGGAGATGTAGTTCAGTGCAAAGACCCTGGGTTCAATCCCAGTACCTCAAAAAAGAAAAATAAAGACCAAAATGAGAGGGCATCATTGTGTGCTGAGCCTGGTGGGCTTCCAGCTGCATGATGGTTTATCTTGTGTGACTGTCACCGGCACCAGATGCGGCTCACCTGCTGCTGTTGATGGATGGGATTATTACTGGGCTCTGGATAGAATCCGCCCGGTGTTGAATCAGGCAATGGAACTGAGCCATTAATAGTAGGTATCAGACCCACTGCGCATCAGGCCAGGGCATGGGTCTAACAGGTGCATTGTCCAGCCCACAATTCATCACCCGGTCCCCTGGGAATCCCAGCCCCACAGGACATCTCACAAACACATGCTCATGGACCAGCACACACATGCAATCCTGCATGCCGGGGTAGAAACCCCTTTGAAAGTAAAAGCACTGGGACGATGCTTCTCACACTGCCTGTGGAGATGGGCCAGTTCATTTTCTTTTTAACTTCAAATCTGTGACTGATTGACATGTTTGTAAAATGCAATTCCAACACTTGGATGTGATATGTGGTCACATCAAGGGCTGTGAGAGTTTCTCTGTGCTCACTGTCATGTCCTGGGGGTGGGAGGACACACAGCTCACACACAGTCCTGGGTCAGGGACCCTCAGGGCAACGCTATCTGAGGAGACCCTGTCCCTGAGCAGCCAAGTCTGCCAGCTGCCACTTCTGGCAGCACAAACAGGTACTTCCTTCCACTCTGATTTTTTGCACAGAGGCCTGTGTCAGTTACTCCAGCCCTCTTTGCATATATACATGCACATAAACACGTGTGCACGCACGCCTGGCATCAACCCCCCCACATTCCCATCTGGAAAGACATAATCGCCATGTGGACTCACACACGAGGTCCGTTCCTGAGACCAAGGGCATAGACCAGCCAGTTGACGTAGCCCAGTGGTGCTGGCATCTCCATCCTCCTAGCCTAGGCAGGAACAGGGCTCAGGAAAGTCATCACTGAGAGTGGATCACAACCCTGTGTTCATGCACCTCTGACCCCACATCGTAGAGGATAGGAACATCGTCACTCGGGGTTGGACACCACAGTTGCTTTCTCACCGAGCGTGTTTAAGACCGAGATATCCTGGGGGGCAGGACCCGTAAAGATCCAGAGTTCAAAAGATAGGAGACCCCACTTTCCACTCGGGGGTCACTCAGGCCGAGAGGCCACTGATGTCACCAAAAGTGATGTGGGAAGCGCCCTGGAAAGGTCCCCAAGGCCTTTGTCTCATTGGACATGTCAGCAGTCCAGTGCAGGCAACAACCTTATTTCTAGAACCTGATTCTTCTCAAAAAGCCAAAATTATGGATGATGATTGTGAGGAAAAAATAAAACATAAAGTCAGTTGGAAAAAATCTGAAAGATCAAAATCGAAGGCGAGAAAGTATAACAAATACTGCCTATGGGCTGGGAGCTGCTTGGTGCCGGTCTGGTTATAGGGTGGATCTGCTCCTCCTTTGGTGTCTAGAATTGTCCCCAAAGGGCCACAGGTTTGTCTCAACAACTTCTACATTGTTCCAGGTGTTTAGAAGGAAAGCTGCATCACTCGTCCTGACCTGGATGGTGGGTGAGGGCTTTCTGTGCATGTGTTTCAGGACAAGGGCTCCAGCCTGGACCCCCAGCAGCACTGTACCACACTGGACACTGGTGCCCCGGGCCTGAACGCCAGTCCTTCACCATCTGTGTCCTCAAGGAGTTCCCACAAGTCCACACACACGGCTATGTCGGAGCCTGCCTGTGAGTGTGGTCCTGGGGACGCCCAGGGATGAGACAGCCACTGTCCTCATTTCTCTCCATTCATCTGTTACCCAGGATCCCTCCACACTTCAACATCTCCACTCGAGCAAAGTGCATCAGATAACAGAGCCACTTTCAGGGTCCCTGGGGAGGTGTTTGATCAACAGGTGGTTGGACCAAGTGGCCTAAATGAAGTCTGGGACCCACCTATGGTAGCTTCTGCCTGCTTCCCTGCATGGTGACTTCCCTCCTGGGAGGTCTACCCAAGCTCTGGTGTCCCCTCCCATTAAGACAGCCTGGAAGTATGCGTGTGCCAGGAGGGTCATTCCCTGATTTCTTACAGCCACTCCGACCAAGCTGATGGCCGAGGCCAGCACCACCTCTTTGCCAAGATTGGCCACCTTGCCCCAAGAGTTACCGGTGCCCGGGCTCAGCCAGGTGGCCACGATGCCAGTACGTGCGTGACCTAAACTTCTCAGCAGGGGTGTGTGACCACATGGTGTGGGCTCAGAGCATGCTCACTCTTCCCAGGGATTCCACGGCCCTTAGACATAGAAGTCCTGGGGGTGGGCGGGATGTGAAGTTATGTCACTTATTTGGCAACTAGTTTTAAACGTATTTGTAACAAAATTGACATGAGTGTATACAGAATACAAAATCCAAGTGGATTTTAAAGATAAAGCTCAGAATTTCAAAGCTGAGCCCTTAGCCCCAGAGCCTCCGCGAGTTTTAGATCCCACTGCCGCTTAACTCACCCCTGCTCTCTCCCAGGCACCTCTGCCTTCCCCAGCATCCTGTGACCTCACGCAGCAGCTCCTGCCTCAGACCATTTTGCAGAGTCCGCCTGCCCCCATGGCACAGGTGGGTCTGGGGCTTGGGACTGGCAGTGCAGCCTCCACAGGGTGTGACGTCCTCTAAAGCGTGCAGGCTGTTGGCACTGATGTGGGTCACACATGTGGCCCCAACCAGGGCCCTGTCATGGGAAAACTCCTCCCAAGGTACAGGTGGGGCAAGTGGAGGGAAGAGCCTCATCTGTACACCTGTGCTTGTCTGCCCTTCTGGGGTCGCCACCTACAAGGGGTGATCACAATATACAGGGAATGCATAGATCTTAAAAACGTATTACAGCAAAAGACACGTTGCCATTAATCTCCCTCAAAATCCTTCCCTTACTTCAAACATGCTTACCCCATGGTTCTTGCTGCTCTCTGCAGCAGTTCTGCAAGTCCTCTTTCATGAGTGTCTTTATGAGGTGAGATCAAAAATATGGTGAATGCTGCTGCTAAGTGCCATCCAACAGAAAGGCAGCCCATAAAACATGACACTGTATCCTCATCCACCTTATTCACCGGATCTGGCACTGTGTGACTTCCAGCTCTTCCTCCGAGTCAAAATGACCATGAAAGGGAAACATTTTGAATGGATCAAGACATCAAGGGAGCCACAACAATGCAACTGAAGACACTCCCAAAAGGGGACTTCCAGAACTGCTTCAGAAAGTGACAAGAACCATGGGATAAGTGTGTTCACAGCAAAGGGGATTTTGAGGGGCTTCATGGCAATGTGTCCTTTACTGTAAGTTTTTTTTGTTGTTTTTGTTTTGCTGCTCTTATTTTTTTTTGAAGCAAAATATTTATGGGTCCATTTTAGATATACTTAATGATAACATTCATAGTAGAGAATGTAAGTTTTTTTTAATTTAAGCATTCACCTTATCTTTTAGTCACACCTCACATGTCCTAAGAGCTCTTAACCTGTGTCTGTTTTTCACCCTCACACCCATCTCTGGTCATCTCTCTGCCACTCTTCCACATCGCCTTCATGGTTGACAATGCCAAAGTGGCCATGGTATTTTAGAAAAATCCGAATTAAGCCAAATGTTATAGGAAGATTCAGAAAGGATCTAAAAAGCTGTGGGTCTGGAGCTGTAAATACCATATTTTTTTAAAAGATTACAGCTTGGCTGAGTGATTCCTTCCTTGCTTCCCCAACATGCAGGGAGCTATCATGGGGGCCAGGGTGAAGGGGAGGGGCTGGGGTGCAAAAAGGGTTGAAACAAGGTCCTTACTCTTAGTTCTCAGAGGTAAAGGGAAAGGTGAGCAGAAACTGCCACAACAGGGCATATGTTTCTGTAGGATTGGTGACAAAATAGTCTAGTGGCCTCCTGGAGGAGGTGGCACTTGGGTTGGCCTCAGAAGGATGGGTAGGTTGCCGGTGGAGAATTAGGAGCAGGAAGAGAGGGACCAAGTGTACCTTCTCTGTTCTCAACTCTACAGATGGACGGAATGATGTGAAGTGTAAAAAGGAAGGCAAATGGGACAGTAGGGAGAGAGAAAGAAAGAAAGGAAAAGACTAGAGAAAAGACAAGTCACAGTCCAGAGCACCCCTATCACACTGGGGGCCCCAGGAAGTGCACCCGCTTCTCCTTGACATGTCCTGCAGGAAAGCACCATGTGGAGGCAGACAGGTGATAGGCAGAGATCACCAGCAAGATGCTCCTAAAGCCAGTCCTGTCCCCAGAGGCAACCAAGGGCCTGAGAGCAGGGAGACTGGGTACACTGAGCAAAGCAGACCTGGGGTCCTCTGCCTTGTCACTTGGGGAGTGTCAGTACCTGTCTCCTCTGCTGTATCTGTGTGTGTGTGCGTGCACGTCTGCATGTGCGTGCAAAGCAGCAAGTGGGCCAGGGACAGGAGTGAAGGAGGAGGCCTCTGTGGCCCTAGGCCCACTTGGAGAGAGCCAGGATCAGACTCAGGACATGACAGGGCCCAGAAATGCCATCAAACTGTCACTTACAGTCTGCCATGCCCAAGGAGGAAAAGGGGCTCTCAGATGCCCTGTTTGTGATCTTCATCCCTGGAGTCTTTTGTCCACCTGATTCAATCAGGAACATCTGTTTGTGAGCGTGGCTCATCAGGTCCTGTTCTCATCTGTGGGCCTCCCAGCCATCAGGCAATAAATGTGACCTGAAGTCATTTCAGCCTGAGGACAGCTGGCTGGGTACCCTGTGACCCCTGTGGTGTAGGGATGCCGGGAAGGATGGCCAGGGGACTGGAAGGGAAGCATCCAGGGCTGATGGGACCAATGGCAGAGAGACCCACCTGCCAGGTTGAACTAGCTCTCTGATTTGATGTGTCTTCCCTCTGCCGGGAAGTTCTCCGCACAGCTCAGCATGTTCCAGACCATTAAGGACCAGCTGGAGCAGCGGACGCGGGTGCTGCAGGCCAACATCCGGTGGCAGCAGGAAGAGCTCCACAAGATCCAGGAGCAGCTGTGCCTGGTGCAGGACTCCAGCGTACAGGTGACACCATGTCCTGGGATAGCCCTCAGTCCAGCTCCCCAGTGGGCAGGACTTCCCAAGCCCCTCCACAGGCAAAGCATGGAGCACAGAACCACCTCCTGCCCTGGCTCCAGGCCACCCAAGAGATCCCCATGGTGCCCTCATCCCTCACTCTCATGCTGGGGGGGCACACTCTCTTCACTGCTCCAGTTGCATGGTCATTCATGCATCTGGCATATGATCACTATGCTGGATGCCAGGCTCAGTCTTGGGTCACAGGACAGCTTCAGTCTTGCCCCCAGTCCTTGTGTGGTCAGCTGGTTCCAAGGCAGGAAGGACATGATGGAAGGGTCTGGCAGAGGAGAGCTGCTCACCTCATGGCAGACAGGAAGCAGAGAGTCAAGGGAGGAGCTGCAGAGGGAGATCAACACTTCCGGTTCACACCCCCTGTGACCACCTCTTCCAGCCAGGCCCCACCTCCTAACAGGAAGTCAGCTCTAAGCCCCCAGAATCCAACCACCTTCCAAAAGCCCCAGCTAGGAGGGCCTGAGGCTCCTGAGGGACATCTAGACAGGAACTGTAACACTGTTCCCCCCACCAATGTCAGTTCTTGGAATCCTTTTGAACAATTTCTTGGGGGGAGGAAAGACTGTATGAATTGGATCTCTTTCAAGGACAGATTCTTTTTCTTAAGTTTTACTTACTTCAACCCACGACAGTTATGTTCGCAAGTGCACCATGGGACCCAGCCCTTCAATGTAAACATCCTCCTCACCAACCTTGGTGTCTACCCTGAGAACAGCAAGCATTTAGGAGAGGTGAAGCAGAAGTGACAGAGTACTGTTCCTGTGGCTGTCCCATCCCTGCCACAGAGACCCCACCCCAGCTGGCCGCTGCATTCCTGAAGCTCAGGCCCCCTTACTGGCAGGCTCTGTGGTCTTGCTGGTGGCTGGAGAGACCTCTTTTCAGCCATCTGCTTCCCAGGGTCTCCTGCAGCTCTGCTTGGAGGTGAGGTACCCCAGGAGGGACACTGGCTGCTCCCTCCTACCCTGCGTCCACAGCCTCTGGCATCTACGCCAGCCTAAGTCACATTCGAGTCCTACCGCTCTCTCTCCACCTCACTGACACCCCAGCTGATGAGGTCACACAAAGAGAAATGGGTGATCAAGCTGTCACATTAGTAAAAAGTTCCTTTTTGCTTATCCTGTCCTCACTATAATATGTTCCTTGCTGTACCCAAGGTGAGATTGGTAGCCCATAACTTGCCCGACTCAATTACTGTAATGGGATCTTTACACCAGGAGGAAGGGAGAAATGAGCAGGAAAATGCTGAAAGCCCAGGTGGGTCTGAGGACATCTTTCTCGGGCTTGGTGCCCCTGCCTCCTGCTTTTCCACCTTAAAGCAAGATTTTTAGGGCCGAGGATTTAGCTCAATGGTTCCGCCGCCTGCCTTGCAAGCTCAAGGACCCGAGTTCGATTCCTGGTACCAAAAAAAAAAAAAAGAAAGCAAGATTTTTAAATAGCAGGCAACAAAGTTGCTGCTCTGACTCCGTGTTGCAAAGAATGATGGTGTTTCCCTTTATTAACATGCAAAGCACCTGCTTTTAAGAGCACCAGAGCTCTGTAGCGGGTGATGGGGACATCAGGCCCTCTGGTTCATTCTCCTCTGGGTTCTTTCCTTCCCTGTGTTCATTCCCTTGTCCTTATCCTCAAGGTGGAATTTTCCAGAGAACATGGAAATCCACAGGGGGTCACCCAGAGAACACTTCCTCCACAGTCTGCCTTCTTGTTTCCTCACAAGATTTAAGGAAATGATTCTACAACACCTAACCAAAATGTGGCATTTGTTTTAAAAACAAACAAACAACAACAAAAAAAAACTATATGCTTTAAGTGCAAAGAATAAGCAAGTAAAAATTCTCCCAGCTCCCACCCCAGGAGTGGGCAGAGATGAAATAAGGATGATGCAATAGCGAGACCTGATGAAGCCTAATGGTGACTCATGAGCACTGAGGTTTCATCGGACCATTTCCCTACTGTGTGCCTCGAACATGTCTTAGAATGGCAAGAATTCATAAAAGTGAGCAGATAAGAAAAATGAAAAATCACGGGTGAATGTAGGATTGATTTTTGCTTGAATATTAGGGACTTTTTTTCCTCTGATAACTTTCCCTCTTTGAATTAGGGAATTATATTTTGTTTCATTTTGTTTTTACATATTTTCTATAAAATTGATCCCAAAGCCCTTTTAGGAAGTCATGTTCTTAAGCCATAAAATTCTGCTTTATTAGGCAAGGTGTGAAGGCACATGCCTATAATTCCACTACTTGGGAGGCTGAGGCAGGAGGATCACTGAATTCAAAGCCTGGCTGGGCTAGGTAACATAGTGAGTTCAAGACCAGTCTGAACTACATGGTGAGAGCCTGTCTCAAAAAAAACCAAAAGCAACAGCCAAAACCCACTTCTGCTTTATTGCTAAGGCAGCCGAGGTGTGAACGTGTGTAGCAGCAGGCCAGGATTCCCCTCCCAGGGTCTTGTAACCCAGCTTAGTGGATTTTCCTCATTTCACTTCACACTTAAGTACTGCCAGTGAGACCTTGAGTCTCCAGTGTTTGCTAAGTATGGACTTTTAATTGGATTATGAGGGAAGGTCCTCTAAAGCTGTTGGTGTTTGCATCTCACTGGGATCCTGAGGGGCCCCAGGTAGGCCATGGCTCTCTGGGAAAAGGCCCTGTGGCCCCCACAGTGAGTGCAAGGCCACCTCTTGCTCTTTCTGAGATCATGTGCACTCTCTGCTGGCTACTTGGATGAATGCCTACAAGGACATCTGTAGCAACACAAATGATGTATCTGTCCCTTGGTTGGTACTTTCAGCCATACATCAACCCATCCTTTCCCTCAGTCCATCCATCCTCCCTTCTTCCCATCCATCGTTCCTTCCATCCACCCATCCATGCATCCATCTATCCTTCCTTCCATCCATTCCTCCTTCTACCTATCTTCCTTCCATCCAACCTTCCATCCATCCGTCCATCCATCTGGCAGGTACTCATTATGTACCAAGCACCTAGCTGAGCACTGCAAGGACATAACAAGAACAGGATTTCTGGTGTCCACAAACATACTCGTACATCAGTGGGACAAAGAAGCAGAAAAGTCTGCTATGTAAAACTAGTAGAAATGGTTTGAGCAAAACGTTTCATCCGTTCATTCATTCATGTATTTTTTCCATTTGTTCATTTATCAGATAATTTTAATATGCTCCAAGAGTCAAAGGAGCAAAAATATCCTTTCTTTCGCCTTATTATTGCCTAACATTTATTTACATTTCCTGAGTCTCAGGTACTTTATATACATTGACGTCATGTAATCCTTTATGGGGTATCTGCTGTTAATGTTGCTATTTTTTGAATGAGGAAACTAAGGCTCTAAAGAATGATGAAACTGCCCAAGGTTCTACTGCTAACAGATGGTGGGGTGGTGGTTGGAACTCAAGTGTGTCCCTTTTCAGCTAGATAATAATGAATACCTGTCATAAATAAAGCACACATTTATTTGAATTCTAATCAATGTAAATTGTATCCTACCAAAAACTATATGGTAATTGGGTTTGAATATTAGGTTTTTGCTGAATTGGTGAGGAATAGGTTACCCTCGAGGGTCCTGAGTCTGAGATGATGGATACCAGAAAATTCTTCCCAGCCTCTAAGCTGACAGTCTCCTGTTTAGAAACTTTGGGCTTCTGGGTTGGAGCTAAGGCGTGAGAGGAGATGGGAGATGAAAAGAGCACAGATCAGCCAGGTCACCGGGCAGCACCTGTCTACCGTGGGTAGCTCCTGGTGACCCAGGCCACTGTGAATGAGCCCTGAGCTGGCCCAGCCCTTGGGCTCCTCCCAGCACCTGTGTGCACCAGCTTGCACCTGCCAGGCAGCACCTGTTATGCAGGCCCCGTTATACAGCTATGTCTGCCAGTCACTATGTCCTGGGTGAACATGTAGGTCCAGGGCTGGAGGAGGAAGCACCTCCTGAGAGAACCATAGTGGAAATCAACAAAGATAAAGTTAGAGAGTGGTTTTGTTTTCTTTTTGGTACCAGGGATTGAACTTGAAACCTTGCACTTTCGAGGCAGGTGGCAGAACCACTGAGCTAATCCCTGGCCCTAGAGAGTGTTTTTAATGCCCAAGAGAGGATTTTGCTAAAAGAAGTACTGTAAGTCCTTGGTTAAATTATTATGAAAATCATTTAAAGCTGGTTTTCTTTAATATCCAGAGTCAACTTACAGATCCAGTTTTTCTTACTGATCTACTAATTTGGTCTTACAAGAACAATCCTTCCACTTGTTTTTGTTTATGTTCAATTAGTTTATAAGTTTAGCAAATTATGAATAATCAACATTATCAAACCTATTCACTGACAAATTTTACATATCTGAAGCTGTCAAACATTTCATGTAACTAACAAAGAAAACATAGAAACCTAACAAGTAAAATCTTCCTAAGCACTTAACTGTTTCAAATCAAATACAGTCAGCCTTCAGGATTCATGAGGGTTTGGTCGCAGCATTCCCCAAGGATACCCAAATCCACAAATGTCCTTTATGGAAAATAGCATGGCATTTGCACAGAACCTACTCGCATTCCCCTGTATACTTTAAATCACCTCTAGGTTATCATGTGTTGTCCACATACCTAATCCAGTGCAAGTGCTGTGTAAATAGCTGTTGTCCTATATGGTTTAGGAAATGATGATAAAGAAAATAATCTGTATGTGTTTGGTACAGATGGAATTTTTTCCCAAGTATTTCCAATCCAAGATTGGTTGAATCTGCAGGTACTAAACCCAGAGATATAAAGCTCCCTAGATATGTCTTCCTTCTAATAGAAACCAATGAACCAACTTCAGCTATCAATAAGTGTGTGTATCAAATTATTCCTAAAGCATCTGGGTCCCAGCTTCTTTCATACCATCAGACCTCACTCAGCCTCTTGACGACAGCCTTCATGAGGGCAGAGGTGGTGCCTCCACAACCTGATTACTCTGTCCAGTCCCTGGCTGGCTGCTGGGTACCCTGGGTGCTTGCTGACTACAGCTGGTCAATGAGCCATTTCCAGGCCAGTCAGGAGGCACCAAAGATCTGCCCTCTTCCTGTGACAGGGGACACACAGCAGGTGCGCACCTGCCCCCCTTACAGCTGTTACTCTCTGCCTCCAGATGTTCCTGCAACAGCCGGCCGTCTCCCTGAGCTTCAGCAGTGCCCAGCAGCCAGAGGCACAGCAGCAGCTGCCACAAAGGGTGGCTGCCGCAGCTCAGCCCCAGCTCATGACAAGCCCCCAGCTTCCAGGGCAAATGGCCTCGGCCCAGGTCACAAGCCAGCACCTGCTCAGAGAATCCACCGTGATTGCAAGCCAGGTGAGCGTACCCTGACCCAGTTCGATCCTCGCCTGGAGCAGGTGAACCCTTGCAGGCCAGGACGTACTTGGTCCCGGCAGCTGATGAGACCCAATAACAATGACAGCTGCTGGACCCAGGTGGCACATGGTGGTGTATTTTTCTCTACTTTTTTCTTTTTGGTACCGGGGATCGAACTCAGGTCCTTGCGCTTGTGCATCAGGCAGTGAAACCACTGAGGTAAATCCCCGGCCCTCTACTTTTCTTTTTTAAAGTCACTTTGAAGGTCCAAGTTGTATTGGCTTCCTTGTGTATTTTCCACTTTTGCCCCTGAAGACACCAGGCAGTAGCAACTTTCCACTTTGATACTGCATTAGAACAGGAGGCAACAGACACCCCAGACCCTCACACCAGTGGCCCCAAAACACCCATCCTGCATCTCCTCTCCTGCTCCTGGTTTCTGCCATTCCCCACCAGAGCAGCCTCTTCTGTTTATTGTCCCTTCGCCCAGGGCCTCCTTGTTCCTCTGGGCCACCCAGAATCCCACCCAGCCCTTCTCTTGCAGCCTGAGCCACTCAGTACCAGCCGCCCCCAACCTTTTGTCTCCCTGGGCCCTCGAGTGGAGAGGACTGGAGAAGCCCCGAGTGCCCCTTTCCTGAGATCGAAGGCTGGCAGGCAGAAAGCGTCTGGCCTCAGCCTTCATGCCACGCGGCTACAGGGGCTTCCATGAGCACCCACTAAGCATCTGTATCCACATGGGACAAGACGAACGGGCCAGGTCCTTGCCCTCAAAGACAGGGAACTCAGCCAGGGGCGCCCACCACAGCTCAGTACCAAAGTCAACCTCAGCATCCAGAGGGTGTGGGTTTAGGGCTGCTGTGGGTACTGAGAGCCATGGATGCAAAGTCCCTTTTCTAAAATGGCCTGGTATTTGCATAGATACGTCCTCCTGTAGACTTTTTGCTTGTTTGGTGCTGGGGACTGAAGCCAGGGCCTTGCATATACCAGGTGCATTCTCTGCCATGGGTGCTGCACCCCTCCCCCATATACTTTAAATCATCTCTAGATGACTTTAAATACTTCATCCGCTGGCAGTCCTACATAGAGAGTTGTGTTATTTAGGGAATAATGATAAGAAAAAATCTGTATGAGTTCATTACAGGCATAATTATTTTTCAAATATTTTTGAGGAGTGGTTGACCGAATTCGAGGATATGGAGAGAGACAGATAATTGTTCGTGTGCAGGAGACTTTAGCCAGTCCTTATCCAAATGTAAGGGTTTTGCTTGAAAATGAAAAGCCATGAGAAAAATAAATGGGTGAGAATTAGCCAAGGAAATTCTGGAAAACAGAAAATGAACAGCGTTTGCCCTACCAGATACTGAAGGGTTTGTAGCAAAGCACTGTGGTGTCATCGTGGGGAGCAACTGTCAGTGGGACAGACAGGAACTGGGAAGCAAACCCAGCCTGCCCCTTTTCATTCACAATTCCACTGCACCAACATGTATTGAGTAATCATCGCATGCCAGGCACTGACTTCTAAGCACTGAGGGAGAACAGTGAGCAAAAAGGATGGGAAAAGAATCTGTTCCAAGAGAAGGGAGAGAGGAATATGAGTAAAAATCGCCATAAGTCATTCAGTGGCGATGTAGCAAAGCTAGTGGGGCCAGGGTGAGGCTTGGAGGTTTAAACAGGTGGCCAGGGGCTTCCGGGAGAAGACAGTCCTGGAGCAAATACATGAGGGGCAAGAGGAGCCTTGGCAATAGCAGAGAAAGGGCATCCCACACAGAGGATTGACTTATGCAAAGGCCCTGGGGCATAGGAAGCCTGGTGATTTAGGGGGCACTGGAAAGAGTCTGTGCATCTGGAGTGGACTTTGTGAAGCAAAAGACAGGGTTCAGTTCTTTACTTGGCCACTGAGAGGCTGGCACTGCCTAAGACCCAAAGGACTCCAGGGATCCTTGTGGAGCCTCCCACCCAATGAGAAGACAGTTGTAACCTGAAAAAGGGTTCAGTGCTTCCAAGAAAAGCCGGCATGGATTCTCTGGGGAGGTTGGTTTCCTGCAGAGATGATCTGAGCTAAGTCTAAAATTCTTGTTTTTCATTTTGTTTGGTTTGTGCTGCAGGGAATCAAACCCAGAGCTTCACCCCCAGCCTTTTTTCATTTTTTATTTAGAGGCAGAGTATCATGACGTTGCCAAGTGGCCCAAGGCTGGGTTTGAAATTGAGATCCTCCTGCTTCGGGCTCCTGGAGTGCTGGGATTGCAGGCATGCACCATCATGCCCAGCTCAAGTCTAAACTTTTCTTTTTTCCTGTTCAATGATACTCCAGGGTCTGAAGCCCATGAGAAGTCCCCAGGTGATGCAGGGGAGCAGCCGCTCAGCCAGCAGCCTGCCGCCCCCCTTTGGCAGCACTGCAGCACTGCTGCCCCCGGCTCTGAGCCTGGCTGCCCCCGTGCCCACCTCCCAGGATGCCAGCCAGTGCCAGCCAGGCCCTGACTTCAGCCATGACCAGCAGCTCAGGTGCGTCACCACCCACCCAGCTGTGCAAAAGGGAAACTGAGGCACCATATACACTCTTTCCTCTTGTCTGCCTTGATGGGAGGCTGAGTTCAGACAGAGGCCGAGGGCTCTGCAGGAGGTGGCAGGAGAGGGCACAGGGTGCTGGTGGCCGGGAGGTGGCCCCGCTGAGCATGGAGTGGGGAGGTGGTCACCTGGCTGCCTGGCTGCTGACTGACACTGGCCCTTTCTCCTCCTCCGCTCGAAGGCTGCTGCTGAGCCAGCCCATCCAGCCCATGATGCCTGGGTCCTGTGACTCAAGGGCACCCGCAGAGGCCAGCAGGACGGGACAGCATGTCAAGTAGGTGGCTGGGGAGGCGGGGAAGGCTGAGAAGCCTCACAGCTGTTCCCTTGCTGCCCTCCACCTTGCTCCTTAGAATGATAGTCCAGAGCTGGCTGTGGTGGTGCATATGTGTGTGTGGAGGCTGAGGAAGGAGGATCGCTAATTAGGCATTTGGGGCCAGCCTGGGCTACAGAGTGAGATCCTGTCTCAAGAACAACAGTGGAGGTTTATGTGGGTCACAGCTCTGAGCATGGCACCCACATCTACCCTGCACCTGGGAAGCCTTCCTGCCTTGTCATCACAGGGCAGAGGCACCACATGGATAGTCAGAGCAAGGGTGCTGGCTCTCATGAAGCCACCAGGGCTGTCCTAGGGGCGCCACTCTAGTTACTTCCTCTCGCCCTCTTACATAGCACAGGGCTCCAGGGATTGAGTCTTCAACAGCTGAACTTTTGGGGTCTACATTCAAACCGCTGCCTTCCCCAGCCTCTGTCCTCTCGTACCCAGGACCACAGCAGATGTTTAGCTGCCTGCTTCAGAGGGGGGTGTTCCTGGAGACGTGAGGGCAAACCCTTCCTACTGGAAAACAGTTTCTGGCCCCTTGAAAGGCAGCGATGGTAGGACTGGGCAGAGAAGTCAGTATCTACGAGTCCTGGGTGAACTTGGGGTCTGAAGGTCACCCACGACAGTGCCCTGTAGAGGCCTTGCCAGTGGCCTGGCCATCCCAGAAGTCCTTCCTGTGTCCCTCCACAGCCCTCACAGCCCTCACAAATGAAAACTCCAGTATAGGGATGCCTTCCTTCTCTGAATCAGTGCAGAACTTAGGGCATGCGTGCTGCAGCCAGCTGTTTGTTATTACTGAGAGGTCTGAAAGGTCTAAAATGTCACCATCACCCCCTAGATAAACCAAATGAGAAGAAAGAATCTTGATATAGCAGTTTCCAGAGATGCTTCAAGTGCAGCAAACTAGGCAAACATGGAAACCTTTTCCTCCAAGAACTCTACCATTTTGGGTCAAAACAATCATTTCTACCCTCCCCACCTCCCCTATAGTCGCTGCCAGGCATCATCCCACAGCTCCCCCTCCTGGGGGTCAGGATCTCTCTCCCCTGCCCCCATGCAGGCCTCCCAGAAGTGGGGGGCTCAGAGCCAGTTCAGGTAACCCCACACAGGGAAATGGCACCTCTAAAAACCCCACACCAGGTGACTTCACTGTCAAGACTCCAAACATCTATTCCTTAGCCATAATTTTCCAGCCCTTTCCTAAATGGCTTTCTTGGCCCCTTGTTTTTTTGTTTTTGTTTTAATTCTTTTATTGGTACATTTTAGGTATACAATATGTTTACATTTATCATTGGGTGCTTGTACCTGTACGTGATGAATCTTGGTTCTTATTTTTTTCCCCATTACCTGTGCGCCCTTC